ATGGTACTCCCCAAAAGTATACCAGTTAATATTTCCAGTTTCTCGAATGTCCCTCATCAATTTTTTTTCCTCAATAGACTTTCACAAATGAAAATCATCCATCTTATTAGAAGAAAGGCTGAGTTAGCAAGAACAGGGACAATTTAACCACAGAGATTACAAGGTCCATGTTGGAAGACAGTCAACACTTTTCATCAGCTCAATTCTTCGTTTTAAATTTCTTTAGGATTTTCTTTTTTTTACATTTATAACTGTGACCGAATTTAACTAAACCCTTCTTTTCAAACAACATAATAAATCTTAAATCAGATCTTTAAAAAATGAGGGGTATGCCCTGGTCATTATTTTCATGCCTCTTGTCCTTACTCAAATCCATGCCACTATCCCTGTGCTAAAAGTGTCCTCATCATCTAAATAATCAGCAACAGGCTAAATTTGGTTTAAGGATTTGGGAGGAACCAGGCCTCAGAATGCTTCTCATCTCTGTATTCCTCAGAGACCCCCCCCCAGCCCCCTCACGCAGTTATAATTAGCTCAGTAATCTTCCCTGGCTAGCTGCCATCTACCAAATAGGAGTCACTGAAAAAGTTACGAAAAGAATTTTAACAAATGGGAAAGCTGATAGGCCTCAAGCATTTTTTAAGTGACAGAGGTACTTAAATGGCTTTCCCTGAAATGTAAGTACGTACCTTAATTTAAGAACATTAGGGGCATTTTTACATAATTTAGATAGATAATGGCATATTTAAAACCATTTTTTTAAAAAAAACAGTGCCTCTAATATTAGAGCATAAGCATCCATTATGGCTTTAGCTGGCTAGACAACATTAGTCTCTTCACTATTAATTAAGTTTCAAAACATTTAGAGTGATTACCCCAAAACTCTGAGAACTTTTTAAAAGCAAAATTCCAAATGGCACCCACTGACAAACCTGACAAAAACCCACAGCTGCTGATGACCCCGCCCCTGGTACCTTCAACTATGACAGGGAGCCCCCTTTCTCACTCAGCTAGGGAACAGATTCATTTAAAATAACTGGGGCCCTGGAACAATCCCTGGGGTAAGGAAAACCAGAAGCAGAAGAAATGTCACAAGCCAGCAGAAGGTGACTCAACAGCAGAATAGCTAGGAATTCTGTTGCAGATCCAGTAAAGAAAGGTCTTCCTAAGAGAAGGAATCTTAAGTGCCTGAGGGACAGAGACTTGGGAATGTGGCCAAAGAAACCTGAACCTTTTTTTGGCTAAGAAATATATACTAAGAACTCTCCTGCCTACCTAAATATTTTTATTAACTGAACATTTCCACCTAATAGTCTATGGTCAATGTGCTTGAGGATGGAGATACGCGGCTTTCCTGTAAAGCACAATGCCTAGATTTGGAGAAAGAGATACAAGCCAAGTAAAGCAACCATTCCATTACATTCAAAACAGGTGTACACAACACTTAGGTGTAATGCCCAGATCTGCTCAACTTCAGTGCCTACCATAAGGGATATGCCAGAAATCCTAATATAGTATATTATACATATAGTAAGAGCTCAAAAAAAAAAAATGTGTTCACTGTATTCAAAAGAAAACTGTTACCAACTTGTATTCAAGTTAAGCGGTTATAAAAACTAAAACCAAATTCACATTGTCCAAACTTTACCTTGCCCCACCCTTGCACATTTGTTTTTTTAACATAGTAACACCTAGGCCTGAACATGAAACCTGGAATAGGAAAATAAAGAACTGTCATACCTGCCTTTTTTTAGTTCTGTAGATGACATGTTATATTTCACGTGGCAATGCTATCTGAAAGGCCACCATTATTTCAGGAAAGAAAAGTAAAGTTGACTGGCCACCTAATATGTGCCCAGCACATCCACAGAGTTCATCTCATTTCAGCTTCTCAATAACCCTGAGGCATAAGCATTACTGCCCAATTTTTATCTAAGAAGAAACTGAGGTTTGAAAGTTATGTGTCTAAGATCACCTGCTAGTAACAGTATTCAAATCTAAGTCTGTACCCTTCCATCTTTCTCAACATCTATGTAATCTAAGAAGTGTTATAGAAACTACAACCAAAAATGTAAGATAACCTACTAAACAGTACATGGAAAGTGCTAAATGGGCTTCTCATTTGTTAACCATGACAAATTCATTTAGAGTATCCACCACTTACAAAACACTGTATTTCTCCCAAGGATATATTATCTTTGCCCAATGGGAACTGACAGTCTAGCTGGAGAAACAGGCCATTTCCACAGTTGTTAATGTTAGAAGCAACAAAAGATGTCAGGAAGGACAAGGGTTTTAGACACATTCACATAAGAATTTCAGTGCTGGGCGCTAGCAGCTCATACCTGTAATCCCAGCACTTTGGGAGGCTGAGACTGGAAGATCACTTAAGGCCAGAAGTTTGAGACCAGTCTGAGAAACACAGGGAAAGCCCGTCTCTTTAAAAAAGGAGAAAAGTAGCCAGGCATGGTGGTGTGCACCTGTAGTCCCAGCAACTCAGGGGGCTGAGGTGGGGGAGATCAAGGCTGCAGTGAGCTGTGATCACACCACTGCACTCCAGCCTGGGCAACAAAGTGAGACCCTGCCTCAAAAAAAAAAAAAAAAAAAAATTCAGTGATTTATACAAGCTGCGAACTTTGGACAAGATACTCAGTTTTCCTCACCTGTAAGGGCAGGCTAAAAATCTACATCTCAGGACTCTTAATAAAGCTTAATGAGAAAATTCATGAAAAAAATAGTTAGAAACCTAACATTTGTTAACTCCCCTGTGAAGGAGCATGAACTACTAAGTGTCAGTGATTGGAAATATCAATATTTTCTGCAGCAAAGATCAAAGAATTTGATTTGCTTAAAAAAAAAAATCAAAACCAAAATTTCCAACCCTTATACTTGAAAGCTCTTTTGTGGAGACAGCTGTGTCATTTGTCAATGAGGTTTATCATTTATAACAGCAGCAGAGTTAAACATGTAGAGGGCTCACACTGTACAAAATTTAAACAACGATAAACAGGAGCACATTCATGTCAAAAGATTTTGAGGAGGTGTCATATTTTTGTGCAAAACTGCCCATCTTAAAAGGAAAACTACCATTTAAAGTAAAAATGTATGGCAACCATAGGCTATGGCACATGCCTAAATCCCATCTATTCAGGAGGCTAAGGCAGGAGGACAGCTTGAGCCCAGGGGCTTGAAGCTGTAGTGCACTATGATTGCTTCTGTGAATACCCACTGTACTCCAGCGTGGACAACACAGTAAGACCTTGACAAAAAAAAAAAAAAAAAAAGAGAAAAGAAAAGAAAGAAAGAAAAAGAAAAAATAAAAAAAGGAAAGAAAAAAAAGTGGCTGGCAACTAAATGCAATCTGGTATCTAGGATTGAATCATGGCAACAGTAATCCGAACAAAGTCTTTAGTTAACAGTAATGTACCTATGTTAATTTCTAAGTTTTGACAAATGTGCAACTTTTCTATAAATCCAGAAGTATTCCAAAATATAAAAAGTTTTTTTAAAAAAGTGGATGACAAAGTAATGACAAACATACACAGCATTCTTACCACTTGATTTTGAATCTCCTGAGGACAGTTGGCCTTACAAAGCAAAGGCTGTGAAATCAGTCAATGCTTGCCAATTCTGCAACCTATTCTAAAGTATAACTCTACATGGAACATCTTGGGTTTAATAATATTTCTAACTTTTAAAGAGACGTAACTTGTCCACTTTTACCTAGCATATTCTTGCAAAATACCGCCTTTATGGTAACTGAATATTGTTATTACAAAACCAGTACGTTTCTAACAGTTCTGCCTTTCTCTTCTTGAATAAGACATTTACTCAATCAGAACATAAGCATCTCTTACCACATATAAGGTATAACATGAATTTGGAAGTCTAATAAAAAGTGACATTTCTGAGCTTAGTGCTAAAGACAAGCATAGTGTTCGATCTGTTTCGATAATAACACAGGCAGTCGAATTCTCTTTAATCTACCACACAAAATTTAAAGAAGACTCAATAAAGTGATATAGAACTCAGAAAGGCATTTTTATTCCCAGGGTCAAATGATGGCCATTACTGACACAACTTTTTTTTTTCCCAAAAGTACACCTACATTTATCAGGAAGCACAGTAAGTGTTTGTGAACTTTACTAGCTGTGTGTTCATCAAGATGGCTGAAGCTTTCACACACTGGAGCCTACAAGTAAAGAGTTTACTTGCATACCAGAAGGCAAATCTCATGCTACAAACTGGTGTCAAAGGTTTATGGCAGCACCAATTTCAATGAGTGCACCGTACACACATGCATTCATACACACAATGTCATTGATAATCTCAGTTGTGGCATTCCCTAACCCTTTTTTAATACACATGTGGAATTTAGAGCACAGTTTTCAAATTTGAAAGAAACCTTAATCATCTTTTCATAGTTCAAAAAAGGAAAAAAATAAACACAGCAATGCAGCAAAGTCATTTCTCCAGCTGAAATGACCTCCAGCTTCTTCGGGCTACTCCCGGTTTCGCAATAAGTGAATCTGAGACGCAAACCACGTACGCACAAACGGAGTAGAAGCGAACACTAAAGCTTCCCCAACAGTCCCAGCAAAACCCACCTGGCCTTTCCCAATCCTCCCGCTTCCCCAGCCCTTCCCGTCTGCGTGCACGCACAGGTACCTTGACACAGACCAGGAAAAGAGAACAAGATTAATCAGCAGCCAAAATCCTGTTTTATCACTTACAGCCACTATCCAGAAGAGCGACAGTACTACTAACCTGATTTCAGGGAGGCAAAACTAAACCCAGCAGGGTACAGGAGCATAAATTATACGTGTCTGGAACGTCAACCCAGCAGCTCAAGGCAGCTCAGATGACAATTCAACGAAAAGGGTTTCGCAAATGTTATCTCAAATGAACATTTCCACTTCCAAACCACCCACCAACCTCTCCACTGTCAGTACCGAAATTCGGCTGAAGCAACTCGGGATATAAGCAGCAGCATTTCTTACCTTGTACAAATCTCGACATTTTAGGGGTTTAGTAAAATACTCCGGTTTGTTTTTTTTTTTTTTTCTAGAGGAGTCACGCTATAGGGCAGGTCTCTCCTCCTCTCCCGCTTTAACAACCGACGTATTCTTTCTCCTCCTATATTTAACTACTTAAGGGAGTATTTATTAAAAGCCATTAAAACTGGCTCAAAAAAAAAAAAGGAAGAAAAAGAAAAAGAGAAAGAAAAAGAAAAGAAAGAAATTCCTTCTCCAATTCCAAAAGATGGAAACTTGGTGCGACTGAGTGGACTTGGGAACTCCTAAGCTCCTGACACAAATGAGGGCCAGCTGGAGACTCCCGGAAAAGGTAAAACCACACGAACTTAAATTTCATCAATGAAAGAGGCGGACCTACAGCGGCTATTTCACCGCCCCCAAGTCCCCACGCCCTTCGGGGCTGGACTGCAGGAGGCACTGGCAGGCCGCGCCCCTAGCTGCCCCCTCCCCGCGCCGCCGTCCAGCCCCAAGCCGCTTCCCCCGAAAACCCCGGTTAACAGCGGCTCCCGCCCAAGCAGGGGTCGGGGAGGCGGGCGAGGCCGGCAAGCGGGGGCAGTGCAACCATTTTCACCAGCCATAAATATCCTGGGACTAGGAGGCGCTACCAATTCCACGCTCTGGCGGGCCGACCCGTCGGGGCCTCAGCTCCCTGCCTTCCCGCCTCGAGCAGTGAAACCTGGCCGCAGCTTTTCCTCGGGAGGGGCCGAAGGCTACGCTGCCCCTCCCCCGAGCGGACACTAAGGGGTAACCGGCTAGGGATAGACCCGTGCACCGGCGCGGGAATCCCAAGGAAGGGCCCTGACCCTTCCCACATATTCTCGCCCCGCCTGCACTGCGCTCCTCAGAATCCCAAATTCCGCCTCTGAGACTACACAGCGGGCCAGCGAGAGGGGGGAAACACACCCATCCAGGGGGTCGCCGGAAGCCCAACCCCGCCCCTCCTCAAGCCGCCAGCGAGACCCACCTTCCTCTTCCTTTAGCAGCTGGGAAATTGGGGGCGTTTATGGCGCCCCGGGAAGAAGGCTCGCAGGCTGAGAGAAAGTCACCTCTGAGGCGCCCTTCCCTCTCTCCCTCTTCCCTCACACATGCACACCTTGAGCCCCTCGCTAACGGTCGCAGCCCAGCTGCTAAGCCCCCCTTGTCCACCCGTCAGCCGGCTCCCGACACCCAAAGCCCCCACTTTCGCCTAAACACCTCCCCTCCCCCTCCATTAGGAGGAGCCCCTTCAATGCGGAAATGTCCCTGCCGCACAGACCGACAGGCGCAGCCACCAGTCAGGAGCCGAGGCGGACGCAGGCTCTGGCCAATGAGATGTGCGGAGGTGGCAAGGGGCGGGGCGTTGCGGCAACTGGGAGCTCGTCGGAGTTGGGCAATGAGCAGTACCCTGGGATCCCGCGCTTGGGAGCGGCCCCTACGGCGGCGTTGCGGCCAGGGAAGCCTCGCCGGTATATCTCAGTAAGGGAGAGCACCTGAGCACGACTGGTTATTTTTCCAATCGGTAAAAAGGTTCCCGCTGACTAGGGACTGAAGAAAGCTCTGCGGATAGAGCCGGAGCTCCCCACCACAGCTGTCCCGAGGGAGCCCAGACGATTCTCAGGGGACGCTTGCTCCCCTCATCACATCTGATTGGGGAAAGGTGAGGATGCGTTAGGGCGTAGGCAGTGGCCTGTGTGGGGCCAGCTAACAAAAGGAGGGTTTAGGCATTGAAAGTGACAAGTGAAGGCTCCCTCACCGGAACCACCACCATCCCCATTGCCCCAGTTCCTAATCCTGTAGAGATTTCTGCTGTAATAGGCATTTACTTTTCTATTCAACATGAAACTGGCTTAAGTTACTCGTCAAGAGATGCTTTTCTTTTGGTAGATTCTTGAAGTCCTCAAGGAAAGAGGATGTTACACGGAACTTGATACCAGCCTGGGGACTGTTACAGGGCCAGCCCACGGCTTGTCAAATCACACCTGGTATCACCAACCCCACCTGCACCTAAGACTCAGTGCGCCTGGCAGCGAGTGCATTTCAGACTTTACATTTCCACTTTAAGACTCAAATAGCCGGCACCAGGACCAATGAATTGCCAGGCCTTCTCTTAAGTGCCTCCAATAAACAAGTACAGTAATTACAGAAGAGTTTGAGGCTTTGGGCAACACTAATCAACCAAGGTAAAGTGAGAATTTTTTAATGACTCATTGTCTAAACAAAGGAACTTTGATTTTTTGGTTTCACGTCTTCATATGGAAATGTTACTAGAACAACACAGAAAAGGCTAGTGAAATTTTGTTATACTAGAGAATGACAACCGTTGGTACTGTGTTTCTTACATGAAATCCAAAAAGATTACACTCGAAAACCTCTCGGCCATAAAACGAATTTTCCCCAGACAAAACCAAAGAAGTGTCTAAAATCCAGATGTCTACAGTTTAATAACAGCATTTGGAGACTGAAGATCTTAACAAAATCTCTGCATTCTTTGTTTACGGTACAAAAATTGTTCCAGCACTGAAAAAGCAGTCTTTACCAATAAGCATTAGTACCAAAATAAAATACTACCAAAAAGATTTGGGCCACATAGAGTTACCTAGCCTGCAAAAAAAAGATAAAGGACAATGAAGAGATTTATTTGTCGTTGTTTGTTTTGTTTTTGTTTTTGTTTTCGTTTTGAGACAGAGTCTTGCTCTGTTGCCCAGGCTGGAGTGCAATGGCGCAGTCTAGGCTCACTGCCGCCTCCACCTCCCGGGTTCAAGTGACTCTCCTGCTTCAGCCTCCGGAGTAGCTGGGACCTCAGGCTCGTGCCACCACACCTGGCTACCACCTGGCTAATTTTTGTATTTTTAGTAGAGACGGGGTTTTGCCATGTTGGCCAGGCTGGTCTCAAACCCCGCCTCCCCACCCCACCCCCGACCTTGTGATCCGCCTCCCTCGGCCTCCCAAAGTGCTGGGATTACAGGCATTAGCCACCGTGCCTGGCTAGTTTTTAATTATACAAGGTTTATTATAAGAAAGGATGATCAGTTACTGTATTTTCTGCCTTCACAGAAGATTAAAGAGGAAATAGGTTTTAATTGCAGCAAGAGCATTTGTTGATACCTAAGAATGACATCTTGATTTATGAGTGATTAAATTTTGATATATAGTACCAAAGGCTGTTGTACACTTGCTGCCTCAAGAACGCTCCAAAAAGTAACTAATTACCCATCTACAGTGGTTACCCCTATAACTACTCAGTCACTAGTTCTTAGAGAAGTAGCACTCTGGAAGCCGAATTTCCAAATATTTCTAAACTACCTTATAAAATGAAATTTCTTTATACATCGGTATAAATTTAAATTTCTAACCCACAAACACTTTGTAAACGAGCTTCCCATTCTCTCAGAGCCACTAAGAACAACCTCACTTGACAAATCATGTGACAATAGGAAAGAAAGAGGTGGAGTTCTTGATGGCCATGGAGCAAAGGCATGCTTAGAAAGCAGTTACCTATTTCCCTTTATGTATTTCAGTCATTGAAAAATTGCTTTCTCTGGGCAAGTGTGTGTATCTTTAATCCTTTTTTTCATAAGATACTACTCTGGAATATCCCTTGGAGGTGCATGATGTTGATAATCTGTATCATTAGAAATCTGTAACATCGGTAGATTTATAGATTTTACCTTTGCAGAAACTTGGGGTGGGGGGATCAAAAGAATGAAGATGGGAGCTGGTAAGAGTGTGTGCAGGGTTAAGGAGCTGGAGTGAAATGGATTGTGAATTAAAAAGAAAGCCTGGAAGCCAGTTTTTGTCTGGTTCCATATGCGACCATCCAAGGATGATACAAATTCTGCCTATAATTTCTTCCTTCTTTCTACTTTCCCATAGAAACTTGAGGAAACTCAGTTTGGTTTACCCAGTCCCATATCCTGAGATGTATAACAACTTCACCATATCTTTTTCCTTTGCTTTAGTCAGGAACTTTCTATCAAGAACAAGGAAACCATGTGTGCGGTCCTATTTCTAAGCATCTTTTTTGGTGCCTTTTTAGATTTAGTGCTTAGCACGGTGTCTGGTACATAGCGAACATTCCATAAGTATATATTGAATGACCAGTTTAGTGCCACTAAATCATTTTAACTCACAATGTTGTATTCTACTCTCCACTCTTTTTTTTTTTTTTTTCTTTGAGATAGAGTTTCACTCTGTCACCTAGGCTGGAGTGCAGTGGCGCAATATCGGCTCAATGCAGCCTCTGGCTCCTGAGTAGCTGGATTCTCCTGCCTCAGCCTCCCAAGTAGCCAGGATTATAAGTGCCCACCTGGCTAATTTTTGTATTTTTAGTAGAGACAGGGTTTCGGCGTGTTGGCCAGGCTGGTCTCGAACTCCTGACCTCAGGTAATCCTCCCGCCTCGGCCTCCCAAAGTGTGGGATTACAGTCTTAAGCCACAGGCCCACGCCTACTCTCTACTCTTTGAGAGCCATATAAAACATAAAAAGTTTATATTTAGAGATAAGGTTTTTTAAGTTTCAGTTATTTCCACCTAGGAGGTGAACCTGGGCCAAAGTATAAGAATAATAGCAGCAGATGTCCTGATGACTTTACAATAAGCTGTGCTAACTACCCATGAGCATTATCTAATAAGGAGTGGTTTAGGAATTGTTAAAGTATCAAATAAGTGTACAGATTATCAATGTGTGGTCTTTTATTTTTTTCTTGCCTGTCCTATCCTATCCTCTACATTCAAGAAAATAAAGCAGTGTAGTTTGAGTGAACATGTAACAGACATAAAAATTTCTGTGTCATGCCCAACGTGTTTAGCCAAGAGACCAGGCAACAGTTATCCACTGGACTGTTGCCCATACTCAATATTGGCTCCCGTCTGTACCCATCTAAATCCTAGGCCACCCACATGAGAGAGGAAAAAGGGGCTACTGTTACTCAGTGAGCAGTTGCCAGTTACTGACTACATCTAACAATAGGGTATTTCACTTGAGTAAAAAGGTAACCAAACAGGCTTAACTGGAAAAAGATATCAAATTATATCTATGAGATGGACTACTAATGAACGAGTTGTTTAAAAATGAATGGGTTTCCAAATACTTGAGGAAGAGAAAGACTTCATTCTTTCCTCTTGCCAACACCCTGTTGTTAATGAACCAGGAAGTTTGCTGAAACAAGTTGTGAATTTAAATTTTGAAATATCCTTCCGTTTGTTCACAGTATGATTTTTAAGTTATATTTGAGAGTTATATAACTTTTACATCAGAACAGTAGCAGTTATTTCAAATAACTGAGATGCTTTTAAAAAAATGAAGTTAGTTCACATTATGGATTGTGAATTAATGGTTCGTAAACCAATCTTCTAAGTGGTTTTAAAAGTCATTAGGCTCCCAAGCATGTTTAATCAAAACATGCATTATATTGTTCATGTTTATCAATAATTCCCCTCTAGATTCTCCTTTGAAAGTTGAAGGAAGCAGGTCCTTACTATTTTGTTTTCTGTTTAGTCTGTTCTGCATGTTCCCCAGAGGAGAGTGTTGGTGAGAAATGGTGACACCCATGAGGTTGTTGTATTTCTGTCATGTGCAAAACTGTATCTCCAAATCGTGCCCGCCCCTTTGATTATAGAGGCAGTAGAGCCATTCCCTTTAGTGAATAGGCCCAGGAATAAACATAAATGAATATCCTATATTGTCTCAGGGTTTTTAACAAGCATAGATTGTAATGTGATTATAATTTGAAAAGATAAAAAAACTCATAAGAAATAAACCACCTTTTACCGAACTCATGAATAGAATAAATATTATTTTGGTTTACTGTAGTGATATATGTACAGATGATCAGGTTACTTACTGACTTTGAAATCCTCATAGAGAAGAGCTGTGAAAGAGAAAAGCATTCAGTTTAATTCTATTTTTTCTCCCTCTTTCAACTATATTAAAGATTCCCTGTTGTATATTCCATCAAACGACTTTTGATGGTTTTCTGAACATCTCTGCCTCTGGTCTAGTTTATTAAATTTCCTGCCAGTGCCACCACTGGGAAGGGAAGGATAAAGAACTTCTGTTTCCTAACTTAGTCTCAGGGAATTTATTTTAAGCATTTCACACCCACCAATCTAACTAAATATTAAAAAGAATATTCTCAGCCGGGTGCAATGGCTCACACCTGTAATCCCAGCACTTTGGGAGGCCAAGGCTGGTGGATCATCTAAGGTCAGGAGTTTGAGAGCAGCCTGGCCAACATGCTGAAACCCAGTCTCTATTAAAACACAAAAAT